GGTAGGTTAAAAATGTATTTACAGTGACATCATTTAAACAAGAATGCTAAAATATAGCTGCTCAATAACATCGGTAGTTGATTATATTCCTTGATATCTCTGTTGATGCATATCAAATAAGCGTGTGTGTGTGTGTGTTTCTCACCTTGAGTGTGCTGTGAAGAGCGCGGAGAGTGTGGACCTTCTCATTAATGACGGGATTTTTGTTTCGTCGGATAAATGACCTGCGGAGTTGGTCGTGAGTGATGGGCTGATTCTGGCCAATCAGAGACACTCCTCCTTCCTTCAGCTTGTTAAACAGCTCGCCCATCTCATCCACCGTTCCTGAAGTAGAGAGTCAAGAGGAACATGGGCGATGAGAAATAACGGACATTGTCTATTAATGATAATGATAAGAGTCTTAATTAATCACGTATACATTACAGCACAGTGAAATTCTTTTTTATATCCCAGCATGTTAGGAAGTTGGGGTCAGGGCGCAGGGTCAGCCATGATACAGCGCCCCCTGGAGCAGAGAGGGTTAAGGGCCTTTCTCAAGGACCCAACAGTGGCAGCTTGGCAGTGCTGGGGCTTGAACCCCTGACCTTCCGATCAGCAACCCAGAGCCTTAACCCCTAAACCGCTAAGCCCCATTAATATTACATTCTATAAATTGATTTTACATTCACACTATATTATATCTTGCCTCCATACTAGTAGTTAAATAGTTTTTACTAGATTTAGATTTACACAAATAAAAATTGATTTTTAAAAAATGAAACAACACACATACAGAATAGCATATACCAGGGGTTCCCAAATGGCATTAACATTTGACCGAGGTCCCCCGTTTGCAAGATGTCTTTATAACACATTAAAAATACATACTTCTGAATATACCCCCCTTTTTTGTTTATTAATAATTACTTTACGTTACATTACATTAGGAATTGATTGTGTGTGTGTGTGTGTGTGTCTGTGGTTGTCTGAGAGTGAGATTTTTTTTTTTCACACCAAAATGTTGAGGCCCCCCGGGCGCCCCCTGGCGGCCCCCACTTTGAAAACCACTGGCATATACAGATTGGTTGCGTGGTACAGATGAGCAGTATGGTTGTGTACCTGCAGCTTTACTGCCCTCTGCTGGAAAAGAAGCTACTGCACCTCCTCCTATAGGTTTGTTCTTCTTTCCCAGAGATCGAGGAAGTGTGTTCGACTGGACCTTCTATCACAAGAGACAGTAAGCTGATTAAAAACTGCATGCATTTAAAATTTCACTAATAATATATATATATAATTAATAATATATGTGAACATATCAAAAGAAACATTTATTCTTGTGTATTGGCGTCTCTCTGCTTTCTTTCCCATCATATATATGTATGTGTGTTGCGTCTCTGTCCTCACCGGGGAGATTTTTTTCTTTAGAAGGCGTGGCGAGTGTGAGCTGTCCTCCTCCGACTCTGTCTCACTGTAGCACTCTGTCAAAACACACACCACCATGTAGGATCATCCATCCTATTTTATACTAACACAACTGCACGAAGGAAGGAACGTATATAATCTTCGTGCTGCTGATTTCAAGTAAAGGGGAAAAAAAAACAAAACGCACAAACTACTTCTAGTAAAAAAAAGATCTGACTCCACTCACCGGTCTCGTAGTCTGGTGGATTCTTTTGGTGCTTCTTATATTTCTGGATGGCGGTGATCAGACAGTTGATCCACCTGTTTCACAAAATCAGACAAATCAGACAAAAACGTTGGCCTGCGTTGTTTGGACAAATGAGTTGGTAAAGCCAGTCAGTGTGCCTAAAACCATCCATCCATCCTCTACCGCTTACTCCTGCTTCAGGGTCGGGGGGGACCTGGAGCCTATCCCAGGGAGCATGGGGCACAAGGCGGGGTACACTCTGGACAGGGTGCCAGTCCATCGCAGGGAACGTCTGCCTAAAACCTTGCTAGCTAAATGTGAGTTCCTTGCACACTGAATGTCAGAATTTGATCAAGTTGCTGTCATAGCTGTCTGTCATAGTGAATCAGACATAATCCTGATCAATTTAGTTTGTAATCAGACACCGGGTGTCAAAATGTCTGCGACGCTCCTCATTTTCTGGTTAAATGCAGCGTTTAGTATTATTTCTACCCTGTTATATGTAAAGAACAAGGTTATTGTATTTAAAGAATGTTATTAACCAGTCTTTTATTGAAATCTAACCGGATTCCAATGTCCATCCATTTTCCATACCGCTTATCCGACACAGGGTTGCTGAGAGTCTGGAGCTTATCCAAGGGACCTCAGGGCACAAGGTGGGAGACACCCTGGACAGAGTTCCAACCCATCGCATGGCACACAATATGGACAATTTGGAAATGACAAATCAGCCTATAACGCACGTCTTTGAACCGCGGGAGGAAACAGGCGTACCCGGAGGAAACCCCCGAAGCACAGGGAGAACATGTCAACTCTGTGCACACAGGGTAGAGACAGGATTCCAACCTCCAACCCCAGAGGTGCGATAATTATACCTAGAGGTACAATAAACAAGAACAACGTCCCCAGACTCCCACAAGAGCTACTTGTTATTTAGGATATCATTTGTTTCTGTCTAGAAGATCAAGCAGAGAGAAAATGATTCATGCAAGAGCTCAGAGGATCAGGGACACTGGATTAAAGCGAGTCTGTCTGTGAGCTCTTCTTACTCATCACCGTGTACTCTGATAAGTCGCTGCATTCACACGCAAGGATTGCAAAAACCGCCGTGAAGCTCGTAATGCTTTTTTGGGTCTGATGTTCTGTTTTGACGAAGAGGGAAATCAGAGCAAACGGAACACGCCTGTAATCCTTGGTTTGGCTGTGCGAGCGCCAGCAAACCTCACAGCACACTCAAGATGAAACCTGTACACGGATTTGCACGTCTGTCACAGAAGGCCACGGAAATATAAGCCTTGGCCGACACAGCCGGCCTAATCTCAAACTCAAAGCTGAGACTTGACATAAATCTTTGTTGTATCTTGTGACAATGTGATTTATATTGAAATGGCGGTGTTCGGAAGGGCGCGCGGTGGCTTAGTGGTTAGCACGTTCGCCACACACCTCCAGGGTCGAGGGTGGATGTTCGATTGCCACCGGGGCCATGCGTGTGCGGAGTTTTGCATGTTGTCCCCGTGCTGCGGGGGTTTCCTCCGGGTTCTCCGGTTTCCTCCCCCAGCCCAAACACTTGCATGGTAGGCTGATTAGCGTGTCTAAAGTGTCCGTAGTGTATGAATGTGAATGTGTAAGTGATTTTGCCCTGTGATGGATTGGCAACCTGTCCAGGGTGTACCCCGCCTTGTGCCCCATGCTCCCTGAAAAGGATAAGCGGTATAGATGATGGTGCTTGGTTATATTTAACTCTGCTTCAACCATGAATAGATTACGTAAGGAAGAAACACATTTGTGCATGCTGTTATAGGAAAATAATCGACGATGCAGTGCTGTTAAGCGACTCAGTGTCCCCCCATAGTTGATTATTTTCCAATAAAAGCATGTCCTGAAGTATTTTAGCGATCTTATACAACAGCAATTGGCGAAGGATTACATTTGCTTATTAATTAAAGAATGATACATTGTACTTGTATCCATTTATAGCATTGAACAATGAGGGACATCCGCAAGTTCCTGTCATGTCAGCGATAAACCATTGTTCCCTCAAACACAGCACCCTCCGACCTGAACACTTTCCGGTGTCATAAAACTTATAAGGTTGCTTTTTCCTCTCCCAGGATTAGTTCTGAAACTTCTAGATGCATTCGCCATGTTAATGTTTTGTTCTTGTTTTTACTCCTTAAGCCCATTCTCCGTGCGTATTCACGAAACTCCGCCCCTGGGATCTATAGTGGCCCGTATAATGGCTATGAAAGGGTTGACAGGAGGAATTTTTAAAAATCGACTACTGCACCTTTAAAGTTACAGCTTTACCTCTTACTGCTACAAAGCACTCGCACTGGAGACTCTTTCCATAAATGTTCCATAAACTCACTGAAAACTTCACCGTATCAACAATGACACGGCGTGGCCACGACATAACTGCCTGTGTAAGTGAAACAATACATATACTTAATGAATGCTGCTGTTATAGAGAACTAATCAGCCCCTTCTGACCAATCAGAATCGAGCACTTAACAGCGCCGTAGTATAATTAGTTCACAGTGAGGGACATTAACTTGTGAATAATGAAACACATCTGTCTTGTTTTCTGGATAATGATCCACACTCTCTCCGCTCTCACAGATCAACAGGCTGCAAATGAGGATATTTTCGCGTGCGTTTTCGTCACACTCACTTGCTCATGTCAGTAACGTTGTCAGCGGCGAAGAAGAAGTTCTGGAAGCGTGGGTGGAACATTTTAAACACGCTGCAGAGACACAGGAGAGACAGAGATTCATCCTAATGAGGATGGCGACTTCAACAACGAGTGTGCGTGCTATAATTAAAATCATCCATCGTTAGAAAACGACTCCTGTGCATGTGGAGCAAACTTTGGGGGGGGGGGTACAAACTACTCAACAGAACGCTGAACACTGAACAAACCACAACACACGGAATGAAAATGAGTTAAATATTGAGCCGAAGAAATGTATCGAAATGTATCAAATAAAACCCTCAAAAAATATGAAATGATAATGTGAATGAAACCGGAATATATGAATAAAATCAGATGGAAACGAAAACGAAAACCAGGGGCCGGATTTACGAAACCTTCTTAAGACTAAGCACTGCCGTTTTCTTCTTATTTTCGAACTTATGAAAGAAGTTACGAATTATTTTGCAATCCCAAAAATTTTCTCAAGAAAGATTCAAATTCTTAAAAAAGAAATGTTCTTAAAAATCAACGTAAACAACTTCTTAAAATTCAGATAAGTGCCCACTTACATTTACGGCATTTGGCAGACGCCCTTATCCAAAGCAACTTACACGTATCTCATTTATACGACTAAGCTGTTGAGGGTTAAAAGCTTTGCTCAGGGGCTCCACAGTGGCAGCTTGGCAGCGCTGGGATTTGAACTCAGGACTTTCCAATCAGTAGTCCAACATCGTAACCGCTGAGCTACCACTTCCCTTTACAAAACGAACATGACAAAATGATCAACCTTGCAGCATAGAATAAATCCTCTATAACTACTACAATATTTCACTTACCTAAACTAGCATACATGGTTTATTGGTCTCTACGTTCCGGCAAATTCTCCGATGACGGTTCATGTCGGTTAATGTTGTTAAACGAACACATCTCGTGCCCTTAACATTTGAAGAAATGATCAGGCGGTGATTAAAAAGCTACTTTAAAAAAAAAAAAAAAGGATAATAAATGTCAAATTTGGCAGTTTTGAATCTGTTGTAGCTATTACACCAGTCATTTTATTCTGGGGGGGGGGAAATGTTATTGAGAAAGTATTTGAGAACTTCCTTTACATTTTTGAAGAATTGCACTTAGGAACATTCTTGTGAAATTAAGAACTTTCTTAACTTCTTTCTTAAGAAGATTTTCATGAATCCAGCCCCAGGTTCCCAATCTGGACCTTTCTGGAATGTGTGTGTTATTCATAATCAAATTCAGTGTTGAGCTGGGCAATGTAAAAAAATAAATAATAATAATAATAATTTTTTAAAACGGTAAATAAAAAACTATAAATTAGTGAATATGATATATGATCAACTCAGATATGTAATATGATCAATAAGATTTGACTCATATTGCTTTCATATTGTAGTGAGTTTTTTGCCTTGTGTAGCTGCATGTTGGTTGCCATGGTTTCTAGTCATGGTTAGGGCGTAGTTATTAGAACATTCATATGCCTGTACAGCGCTGTGAAAAAGTATCTGATTATTCTGCTTTTGTGCATATCTCATAAAAGTACAACATAAAATACAATATACAACATAAAACAAAGGCAACCTGAGTATACACACAATATAGATTTTATTTCTTTCTTTTTTTAAGCAAAAAAGGTTATCTGACATCTATTACTCATGTGAAAAACTAATTGCCCCCTTAAACTTAAAATCTGGTTGTGCCACCTCTAGCAGCAATAACCAACCAAACGCTTCCGATAACTGATGATCAGTCTTTCACTTACTTCTAGGACTAGGACTTACTCCTATATGATTTGGATCATTGTGTTGCTGCATAATCCAGTTGTGCTTGAGTTTCAAATTACAGACTGAAGACCGGACATTTTCCTTTAGGATTATCTAGGTAGAGAGCAGAATTCATGTTTCCCTCAATTATTGCAAGTCGCCCAGAACCTGAAGCAGCAAAGCATCCCCACACCATCACACTACCACCACCATGCTTGTCCACAACTATGGCGTTCTTTTTGTGGAATTCTGAGTTTGGTTTACACCAGATGTAACGGGACTCCTGTCTTGCACACAGTTCCACTTTCAACTCATCAATCCACAGAACATTCTCCCAAAAGGTTTGAGGATCATCAAGCTGTGTTTTGGCAAAATTCAGATGAGCCCTAATGTTCCTCTGAGTTAGCAGTGGCGTTCACCTCACCACTTTTCCATGGATGACATTTTCAATTAATAACATTATCATTTAAAAACTGTATTTTGTGTTTACTCGGGTCACCTTTGTTTCATCTTGGATTTAGTGTTAATGTATGAAACAATTTAGTACGAGATCTACACAAAAACAGAAGAAATCAAACACTTTTTCACAGCGCTGTAGTATTTCCTGAAGATGTGTGTGTGTGTGTGTGTGAGAGAGAGAGAGAAGACAGAAGTACTTACTACTTCCTCTTGTGTTCTCCAGCGCTCTCGATGCTGTAGCTTCCAATCTTCACCATCCCGACTGCCTTCTCCTCCTGTAAACACAACCGAGTGTACGGTTCAGAAACACACACACACACACACACACACACACACACACACACACAACATATAGACATGCACAGCTTTGGCTTCAAGTGTATTTGAGTGTTAAAGGTGTTGAGGTGTGTGTCTGGGCATTATTTATCAGTCAGAACTGTGTAAAAGTATCGGCTTGTGTAAAAGTTAATGGTGTGTGTGTGTGTGTGTGTGTGTTCACCTGCTGGCTGGAGTACCAGTAGATTGTAACTCCTTTAAGGACAAACCAGAAGCGCTGCCATTTCTGTGTTATGAACACAGTCTCTTTCCTCTTCTTCCAGAGCCATCCGTCGCAGTCCGGCATGCCCAGCTCACGACACGACACCCTCCTACGACTCATCGCTGTCCGTGTGCCTGCAGGGGGTCAAAGGTCACACCGAGGCTACATCACATAACTGACCGTCATTTTAAAATGCTCTTTACTTATTGGAGCAAAATTTATATATAGTTAAAAAATGTCGTTTATGAAATAACACCTCTCAATCGCATTTCTGTCCAATTCCCGAATCTGATTGGTCGGGAAAAGGTTTCTAGATTATATTTCTATATATAATGTTTCTATAGTAACAGCTGATTCACAGAGATTTGCTCGGAGGACACGGCATGATAATCTAATAAAAGAAATGAGCATTTTAACAAACAAAAAAAAAATCTAATGGTTGACATGGTGACCTTTTCTGTGAGGAGATGTTTCTTTAACATTTTTGGAAGGAGACTCCGGTGTCAGCATTTTGTAATTTTAAATTCTGCAACATGAGCAAGTATTCAGGACAGAGAAAGGAGAAAAGAAGAACAGGAACTAAATTGTTTTGTAGATGTTCCACATCATTATAAGTCATAGATGGATAAAAAGTACGACACATTATTCTTTAATACGTGTTGGAAAATTGCTCTAATAAAACCCTCTGGGAGCTGCTGTTATTGGAAAATAATCAACTTCAGCGTGTTAACAGTAACTCCCCGTCGTTGATTATTTTCCTATAACAGCACGCCCTCAAGTGTTCTATCACTATCTTTTTTTGCATCACTGCAGCTTTATGTGAGCATGATGTCATACCTTTGAAGGAGCTCTTCTTCGGCTCCTTGTCCTCCTGTAGAGGGCGACAGAGAACAGAATCATTTTCAGCGTGAGCTATGGATGTGCAAATGTGAATTTGCAGTGTGTGTATGTGTGTGATGTGCGTATATGTGTGTGTGTGTGTGTGGGTGTACTCACCACACTGGCCCCCATGTCAGGCCAGGATACGACTCTCGTCCTGCTTGAGTCCAGACTGAGTAAAGACGTACTCCTGCGCTCTAATCCAGAACCTAACAGCAAGAGAAGAGTTAGGATGCACTGCACCCATCAAACACACACACACACATACACACACATATATATACACACACACACACACACACATACACACACACATGTATACACAAAAAAATATCATGTGTGTGAGTGTGTGTGTGTGTGTGTGTGTATTTTACCTGCACTCAGGTGTGTGTGTGCACTGTGGCTCTGATTCCCATCAAGGCCGTGATCGCTAAACTCCGGCTCGTCCTGTCCTATCAGCTCCTGCCCTTCAGGGGACAACACAGCAGCCCTGATCCACACACACACACACACACACACACACACACACACACACACACACACACACATTAATTTGAGATTCATCATATACTTTTATAAAATACATAAATATGTTCCAAAATACACACTTATCCTATATCCTACTATATTGTACTGAATGCAGGGATTAACAGAATTTTATCTTTTCATTTCGGTTGTTTCTGAATTTAAGTTCCTTCTCCAGTTCCACGTCCACTCTTTAGTTGGAATTAAATAATGGTTAATCACTTTCTACACAAAAACATGGGTTTATTTATTTATTTGACATATTGAATTGGTAAATGGTGCACTTATATAGCGCTTTTATCCAAAGCGCTTTACACTGTGTCTCATTCATCCATTCACACACACACCAATGGTAGCACAGAGCTGCCATGCGAGGCGCTGACTTGCCATCGGGAGCAACTTGGGGTTCAGTGTCTTGCCCAAGGACATGGTATGTGGAGTCACCCGGGCCGGGAATCGAACCGCCAACTCTACAATTGGCTCTACCACCACAGCCTCCAAATATTTAGAGCATCCTTCTGCCTTGGCAGTGTGATTTGTCGCTTGGAGAATCACAGGAATAATACCTTCTACATGGATTTTATGCAGTCGTCACATCTTCAAATACAACTTTGAGTTATTTTGCCATATTGCTAATCCTACACAGGGTCACAGGGTCGCCTGGAGCCAATCTCAGAACTCAGGGCACAAGGCGGGGGTGCCAGCCCATTGTGGAGCACAATCGAACATACTACAGACAATTTACAGATGCCAATCAGGCTACAACTGGGGGAGGAAACCGGAGGATGGAAACCCCTAAAGCACGGGGAGACCATGCAAACTCCACATACACGGGGGAAGGCGGGACTCGAATGCCCATCCCAGGAGGTGCAAGCCAAACGTGCTAACCACTAAGCCACTTTTCATTCCATTTAACTTTTCTAAAGTTCTCTTTACAAATGAGCCTACGCACTAATAATGCACACACACACGGAAATAAACATGGAAAAACAAGTAGAACTCGACAGGGATGGTCCACCACCAAAAGATCTAGTCCTACTTGTTAGTAATTTTGAATGCCAGAAAGCCTGTTAAAATATACTTCAAACAGGAAGGAAGCTATTCAAGAAAAACTATTTCAGACATTTGACCTTGCTGTGACCTTGACCGTATTTGGATCAATTCTAAAATCTAATCAGTTTATCTGCTGGTTGCAGTATGACCTCTATTCCAATTCATCAAGAAAAAGCTCATCCCCCCCAAAAGGTTGAATTATCATAGGGACGATTCATCTCGGTCTCAGCAGTATGTGGACAATAACACCTGAAGTGACAGTGAATCAGTTATAGCATGGGAGCGGCAGTGAGACATCTTATTAGCTTATCATTCAGAAATACACGTCTAGACGAACGTCATAACCCGAGTAACGTGTAACGACTCCAGTAACGTGAGAACGGAACGTGAAACGTCGTCTACAACACGGGCGTGAAACACTGGTTTGAAATACAGTATAACGTGTCTGAGCTGACACTGTCCGAGGTTCACGTGGACTCCACTGAATCCGGAGTGCTTCATGTCCTTTGTCACTGCCGTGTTGCAA